GGTTCCGTACGTCTATCTAACCTACGAGTTTTAACGTTAATAGGTGTAGAGATTGTAACAAACCAACCTACTTTTTCTTTTTTACTTTTACTTTATTTATTATATATATATATATATATATATATATATATATATAAAACAAGAGGGAACAAATTTACCGCTTTCTCATCATCATTATATCAGGCTAGTATAAGGCTCCCCATGATTTCTCAATAGTAATATACAAAATAAATAGCTTGTTCTTAACCGGGGCTGTATTTAAGGGTTCTAAGTATGTTTTTTTTGGAGGAAATTTGTTAAAATAACCTAAAAATTTAATTATTTAACCTTTGATGCATTTTCACTATTCAGACTCATGAATGTGCGTGGTTTTGATGGGATTTTAAAAAAATAGTTAAAATTATATAGTTCATCTAATAGTATATTTTGAAAAATGTATGGTTTGCATAAGATTACAATCTTGAAAATAATCCAAGTAAGGTGTATCACCAAATTTTATTATTAGATGTAATTTTGTTGTAAAATTTGTTTAGGATGGCTTAAAAATCCATTTTTATCTTTAATTATAAACTTTTAGACTTTAAAAATAGGTCAAAACAAGTAGATCTACAAACACATGAAATTCTTGAAAATAAACCGTCCATCATGAAAATAAACAGTTATAATAATGTGTTACAAGATGCATTAATTTTAAAACTTTAAATTCTTCAAATTTATGACCATTTTGCCACGTCTAGGCGTTGATTCAAGAGGTATGTTGTGATGCAGCAATTAAAGTCATCACCGTCCAATCAATTAACAGGCAATAATGGAGAGCATAATAGACACATGATCAAGAAGCGTGTCTGCTCTTTTCCCATCCATCACCTTCCATCTATGAATAGACAGTGATCCAGTTACTTGTGACCATAAACTCCCTTGCTCATGTGGATCATTCCGCACTCATGAATATAACACGATGGATATGACCAAGAAAAGTATATGGTAATGAGTATCTACCCCGTTCAATTGAAAAAAGGACGGTGATGGAGAAAATGAAGCCTGGTTTCGTCATTACACGTATAGTTCTGGTTATCAAAAAAGACTTTTTGGCGGCAACTCGATGAGTATAAAAGGTGATCGCTGTTCCCATTTGTGAAATCGAGCACTCATTTGCTCGTCTCCTTTCTCTCTCTAAATTTCTCTTTCTCTCTCTAAATTTTTCTCTCTGTCTTGCCGAGCTTCTCTTCCTCTCCATTGTGACGACTCCTCTCTCTCGACTTATATCTGTCTCTGCAAGTTCTCAGCCATGGCGGATGGTCACCTCTTCAACAATATCCTTCTTGGGGGCCGTGGTGGAACTGTAGGCTCTTTCTCTCTCTAGAATGCTTGCTGTATATCCTTCAATGGTTGCGAATTTTTCTAGGGTTATGAATTCAATGGCCCTGAACCTTTGGATTTTTAGGTTTTAATGTTGGGGTTTTTCATTTACAATGCACATGCCTTGATTTTTCACAAGTTGTAATCGTGTTCATTCTCTTTGTGTTTTTCCTTAACCTAGGGTTCTAGGGTTAGAAACTGTTCTGGTTTCCAATTGCATTATGAAGTATTTGGGGCTTTTTAAGGTTTTGGAGTTTCCTGGCTTTTGTGGTGCTCTCACAAAAATTGGGGTTTTAGATTTCTAGGGTTATTCTTTTTGTGTACGATTGTTTTTTAGGTTGCAGGTGGGCATATGGCTTATGAGCTGTGGTTCCCCTTTAAATTGGGTACTGGGATTTATCATGTTGGCGGATTTGGTATACGAGTTAGTCGGATGAAACCTGTAGGGTAGTCATTTGTGTGCATTCACCTCTAGGATATTGCCATCGTCTCAGTTTTTTATGCTATTATCTTTTGTAATTTATCTTTTTTTGGCCTCTAGAGTTTACTCGTGTTTGTATATCCCCATTATATATCTATTGGACTTTAATCTGTGTTAGAAGCTGTTTTATTTCATTCACCTTTAGGATTTGCTGTTTCTCAGTGTTTTGTGCTAGTGTGTTCACAATTTCTGAGCTCTGGGGTTTCAAAATTTGGTATTTATTTTAGGGCCTGATGAATTTTTATTGCATTTCAGAATCCAGGGCAACTCAGAATTCACTCTGGTGGTATTGTTTGGCGAAAGCAAGGCGGTGGAAAGGTTGTTGAAGTCGGAAAATCAGATTTAGTGGGTGTAAGCTGGATGAAGGTTCCCAAGAGTTATCAGCTTGGTGTTAGGATTAAGGCTGGGCTAGTCTATAAATTTATTGGCTTTCGTGAACAGGTATTCTTTTTCTTCTCAGATATTCATTTTCGTTGTCATCATCTTCTTCCTTTCTTGTTCTCTGACGCTTTTCTACTTCCAACCACTTAAGAGTCATCATCATCTCCTTCCCGTTCCCCCCATCTCTCTCTCTCTC